ATCAGTGATCTCTCCTCTCCATCTATCACCTCTATAAAAGCATATCCGAACCGGAAAACCTTATCGGGGTCCACCATTTCATATTTCCGAGCAAACTATCTACCTTAGTCCTTAGGTGCCTTACCTTCATCCTCATTATTCCCGTCCCTTAGGACGGAGCAATTACCCTACTCGTAGCCCCCTACCGTATCCAAGATTTTGCCTCTCCGATCTGCACATCCCATTATGTCTACATGTGATCTGACAGCCCCGGCCACTTAGTGCCGTGGATAGATAGTCTACCACAGTAGATTGTTGCCTGTGACGGGCGGCGAATGTGATAGATGTGCGCCGTGTCTGGTGTCGACCTGTCAGGAAAATTTGATTGACACAGGTCATAACTTATAAGCCTAGGGATCGTCTTGGACGTCTATTACTACCTCCTCGACTGCTTGTCTTCTGATACTATTCAAACCAGTCATTAAAGATCAAGTATTCACTCATGAATGATATGTGCACCCGTCAAACGAACAATATAATACCCGAAATAATGCCAAATAATGCCCTTTATCAAGAACGCCATCTAGAATCCCATTCCCGCATAGCCTTGCCTCTCCATAGAATGACCCCAATTATCCAAACTTGAAATACCCAAATGCTAATCCACAACGCTTTCGTATTGTGCCTGCGCACGTAACGCTGCCGCTCACCAGCGTCGTCCATACACCGAATCCTCAGCCCTAGGAGGCCGCTTCTCCGCTTGGCGATTCCGGTCTTGCGAACTGGACTGGCCCCACGGCCGACTACTTCCTCCGTTTCCGTTATATTTGGAACTAGAGGCGCTGGCTTCTGTCAATGTGGCCCCGGATTTGATAACGTCAATGTTTCCCCGGTCGCCAGAGAAGCGTGCTTCGGCATCGCGACCAAAGAGAGCCATCATGTCGTTCATCGTAAGCTTGCCAGCTGCGCTCTTGCCTTCAATAGTGAGATTGGCTAACTCGCGCTTGCGGTCTTGCAATTCCAGGATCCGCTCCTCGACAGTGTCTTTGATAATCATCTTGTAAATCTTGACATCAACCGTCTGGTTAAGTCGATGGACTCGATCAATAGCCTGTTCCTCAACGAACTAGAACTTCATTAGTCAATCGTAATCACCAGTTCGCCATAGTCACTTACAGGATTCCAAAATGGTTCCAAAATCACGACTCTGCTTGCAGCCGTAAGGTTGAGTCCCAGGGCGCCGGCGCGTAAACTGCAGAGTAGCACCCGAGTTGCACTGTTGTGCCTTAGTCTATCTAGGCTGGCCTCTCGAAGGTCGTTTCGCATGCTCCCGTCGTATCTTGCAAAGCCAATGCCAGCACGCTTCAAGAACGGTTCGATCTTGTCAAGCATCGAAGTGAAGACCGAGAAGACAATGAACTTGTAGTCGCCAGCTTCCCGTCTAAGGATCTTCATCAAATGCCGGATCTTGGTGGAAGGCAGGACTTGAGTCTCATCGTCACCAGGATTCCGATAAATATCCTCATCGGTGTCCGACTCCGAACCCTGACTTCTTCTCGAATTGGAAACAATGGCAAGCTTCCGTGTTGGGGATTCAGGACCACCGTCCTCATCAGTCTCAGAGTCCTCAGAACTTAGCCATTCGCCTCCTCCTTCAGCATCTTCGTCATCAGTTCCACCAGCTTTTCCAAGATTAGGCAAATCGCGTTGGCCCTTCGGGACTATCCACTCCCCATCGTCCTCGTCCTCATCGTCACTGTCAATAACAATCTTCCTGTTTCTCCGAGCTCGAGACTTCTGCGTTTCAGAGAATTTATTCGATGGCGAGTCGGTAAGATCCACCTCTATTCTCGGCTTGTGAGAGGTCTTTTTCTTGCCTGAATCCATATCACCAAGTGTAGTCTTTAGATCAGCCTCGCACTCGCCACACCTGCTGGAACCGCTCGTTACTTCTTCCTTGCTCAGCTCTGTCTGGCAAACATCGCATTTCTTCGAAACGACACTCAGAGCTCCAAAGAGATCAGCCATACTATCGAGATCGTCCTGCTTCCCAGAGCTAGATTGGCTGCTGGAGGTCCCATTCTGCAAAAGAATATCTTTGTCCTTTGCAAGATCGCTCTTGACCAGATCTGGATGGTTGCATGATTGCCGTAGACGTAGCAGTAAGACCAAAGCACCGGCGTAGTCGACTTTGGAGCCGCCCATCATCTTCTCGAGGCTGTTTTCCGTTCGCTGCTCGAGACGTTTATAAAAGTTCATCTCACCGGGCATGAACTCTGCAGCTACCTTGATGACTTCCCGTTTGGTGATCTGGAAGCCGGTCGACTTCTTCTGCTCCCCGTTTGCACCTGATCCGCTGGGCTTGAGGTTGGAATTTAGCTTCAAAACATCCTTAGTGCGCCGCTTCATGAACGCCTTCAGATAGACTTGTAAGCGCTCAATCGCAAGGGCTCCACGTCCGTTAGCCAACGGCCTTGTGATCTGATCCTTCCAAGCCGCAAGATCGTTGTAGGGTTTGATCCGCAGAAATTTGATCAAACTCTGAAGCTCGTCCAAGTTGTTCTGCATTGGCGTTCCCGACAAACACCATCTATATTCTGCATTAAGCGCGCAGGCCGACTGCGTTGCCTTGGCATTTCGATTCTTGATGGTATGCGCTTCGTCTAGGACTATCCGGTACCAATAAACAGAGAAAAGTCCCGATTTCTCCTTGTTCTTGTCGACAGCTCCATACTCGGAAGTTAAGGTGCCATATGTCGTAATCACAACATCGTAGGTATCCAGGTTGCCCGTTGCTTTCGCGCGACTATTCCCGTGATAGACACAAACTCGTAGCTTATGAGAGTCCTCGACCTTGGTTGCTATCTCTGACTCCCACTGTTTAATCAATGCCAACGGGGCAACAACTAGAGTCGACTTGCTGAGCCCAGGAGGTACCTTGCGCGGCCTCTCATTGTCTTGATCGTCACTGCTGTCGTCATCCGCTTTGGAGGCGCCGGCCCTGAACTTATCGGAAGATTTCTGGTTGGTGAGTAACAGGGCGATGGTCTGAACAGTCTTCCCCAGGCCCATATCATCTGCGAGTATACCACCTTTGGGAAGCACTCCTTTGGCGTTGCTTGAGCCTCTCTCTTTGTCACACATCCAATTCACTCCTTCCCTTTGGTGAGGGAGTAACTTAACCTTCAAGCCTTCGACTGTCCCATCATCTTCTTCCTCTTCTTCCGCCTCTTCCTCCTCCTCCTCTTCTTCTTCCTCATCGTCTTCTTCGCACCTTTGCTCATCGTCTTCGGCTTCATCTTCAGATAACTTCTCATCATTCAGGGTTTCCCCTTTGTTTGCTTTATCAATGTTGTCTTTTGCCTTCAGCTCATCCATTTCACTCTTTTCAAGAGCAGCGCATGACTCGTTGACGGTAACTCCTTCCAGTTGAGCGGCTAAGTCGTCGATTTCAGAAGTGCCCTCCTTCTTTTGTTCCTTGCTCTTCTTCTTCCTCTTCTTCCGGTCCTTGCTCTTTTTCCGATTCTTTGCCTTTGATCGTTGCTTGTCATCTTCATCCGTAAACGCTCCTTCAAGTAGAGCTTTGATGTTTTCGTTGGCTTTGACGGGGTCCACATAGCTGTTGACGTCCATTGACCCGAAACCCGTATTGCGAGGTCTAGTGCTGGGTGTGAACCCTCCCTCTCGGGTAAGATCAACGAAGTTGCTGATATTTTTAGATGCTTTGTCCATTTTGATGGCTGAAGATGCATAGAAAGTCTTGGGAGCTCGAGGGGTTGTGAAGGTGACATTCTCCGGACGACGAATCTCCACAACATCGTTGTTGACCGGACGCGAGTTTCGGTAGTTGTTATAGGCCGAAGGTCGAACAGGCTTGAAAGGATCAAACGGCTCGCTACGCTTCGGTGTGGATGCTACAGGTCCACTCGAGCCGCCAGGTGGTCTATAACCCTGATGGTTTACCCCAGGGTGAGGAGCATTGTGTGGTCTTGACTGCGGTGCAGGCCTGTGATGTTCAGGTCGAGCCCGATTCGGCTTTGGGATATTGAAAGGATGGTTCGGCTGTTGCTGGTTGGATGGGTTTGGACGTTGATATGGACCGAGAGGAGAGGGTTTACCAAATTCAGGTTGCTGTGAGAGAGGACGCTGGGTGTGCTCGTTTGGCCGCCGAGGGGTCATCGGGTACGACGGCGGCGCGTCGCTTTCTTTAGCCATTGAGTCGTGGTATTTGTGAACGTTTCTCCGAAGTCCGTCAGATGTAAGAAGCAAGTGTCATCCGGTTATCTCTTGTTGGGTCTGTTTCGGATGATTGATTTTCGCGGTGGCGCTTGGCAGGTGGTGTGCTGAAGAGGGGCTGAAAGGCAGGTGAAGGCAAGGTATGATATTGCAGATCCAAGCGGAGTCAGTAGTCTGTCATCTGTCTGCACAATGGATTCTTCAATGTTGCTTTGAGAAACCCGGCAACTTAAAGAGTATTAGCAGGCTAGGTGCTCATGTTCGATGCCGTTGCTAGTTGTATTCGACAAGTTATAATAGCCACGTAGAAGAGCCAAATCTTGGTACTGCCCTCGAGTAATCAGACTTAAGCAGAAATCAGCACTCCCTGTGCTTGTTTGATAAGCTAGATCTTCTGGTGGAGCTGTTTGTGGTAAAAATCCGTGTCGTTAGTGCCGACATGCCACATTATTATCGATAGCGTTTTGTTTGGGATTTTGCCCCAGCAACCGTGTGTATCTAGATGCCTTAGCGCCTGAGGTTATTCTTATCGATAAAGTCGAAACAACGCGATAACGAACAGATAGTGGCTGGATACCTCTCGACCGATGATGGCTTCAAAGCGACGATTATGGGCTTTTCTTTTAGCCCACCATTTTCTTTAATATCACTCTTTCCTAGTTATAAGCATGGAAACTTTCTGCGAAATTTCTTTCCGATCTGAAATCGAAGGTGAAAATATGTGTCCTAGCCTCTGTACACTCTTCGCTAAACGTCAAGAAAACAACACGTGAAGATCAGCATCCCTAAATATCTCCAATAACACCCTTCAATATCTCCGGGACTATAACACCCGCGTCTCCTTGGAAGAACCAATCACCCTTTTTCAAGCCAGAATATCCAACATCATTGCGATCCATATTGACCACTGCAACTCGGGCCCCTCTCGCACGCGCCTTATCAACATAGCCTGCAGCTGGGTAGACTCTTGAACTTGTTCCAATCACCAAGATCAGATCCACGCCGGGACCAGAATTTATCCAATTGTCCACCACTTCGAGTGTGTGCAAGGGCAAACTTTCTCCAAACCAGACCACCCCGGGCCGCAAAAGCCCTTCTTTACATTCTGGACAATGTGGCAGGACATCCCGACTCAAAGTAGGGAGCGGGATGTTCTCGTCTGATATGTCCAGTTCCGTTTCCTCTTCCATCTTTAATGCGTTGGATAGCGCCTTTGAGGCCTCCTCGCCGGTCTTATCTTCAGCAGATGGACTCAAGTCCGGGACGCCTTTCGGTATGGCAAGCGCGGGGACTATCGGATCGGTAAAGTCATTCTCGCGCATATAGTTGCAGTAGAACGAGGTACATTTGACCGTGAAAAGAGACCCGTGGAGGAGGTGGAGCTGTTCCGAGGGATGGTCTGCGCGTTGTGAAAGACCTACAACGAGCCCAATCGTCAGCCTTGTTCAACTAGGCTACACCAGCTCCAAATTATGCAGTCCAGACAGTACCATCAACATTCTGTGTGAGAGTAATGAAATCCTTATTCCTCCTTGCAAGCTCTGCAAGCGCGTAGTGCGCGCGATTAGGCTTCGCTTTGAGTGCCATGTGTCTTCGGTAGCTGTAAAACTGCCATACTAGGTCCGGGTTGGCCTCGAAGGCCTCAGGGGTCGCCAAATCGGTCGCCTCATAAGCTCGCCAAAGACCACCGGCCCCGCGAAATGTGGGGAGTCCAGAAGATGCAGATATACCAGCCCCTAAGAGTGCCAGTATACGTTTACACCCTTTCAAGTACTCAGTAAACGATCGGAGATCAGCTGCTGGTATTGCCGAGGAGGCCATAATGTTCAGATCACCGCTCCTAAGCTGTATAGTTCATATATAAAGACGCAAAAACAGCAGTGGAAAAAGGGACTCTTTAGCAAAGCCAGTTTGAATTATATTCACAGCGCGGGACTCATATCTATAATGATTGACGATTGAACCGTCGCTTTTACTCTGCTTATCCTACTGCGGAGCAGCAATCATGGATGACGTGGGGCAGCTAAGAAACTAGCTATCATTGGTCCAAGAGGGGTAAACCAAGTGGGCGGAATCCGCCGTCAACTGGCAAATACATGTGAGACGGCTTACCAATTCTTGGACTCAACTTGCAGGTAGATACTCAAGAACATACAATCAGAACAGTAAATTTTTTTAAGTCAACTAAGGTATATGCCCCAAACAGTTTATTCGAGAGTCGTACGCTCGCTATCTGAGAGATGATGAGTGATTTGACAAGATTCAATGTTGTTCCTCCGCCGGAAGCCCAACATTGACTGCTGTCACAGCATAATCCCGATTGCGCTCGTTCATATCGGCAATGAATGAGGTGATGTACTCTGGTACTTCAGCGACCTTGTTCTCTGGGCTCGGAACAGGGTCTCCAAATGCCTCATAGACAGGCACAACGCCCGTCCAGACCCTGTTTGTCACATCGTCGTTGCTCTTGTCCTTTCTCTCATCAGAGACACCGCCATCTCGAATCTTGCCACTGCCGTCGACAACCTTGACTTTCAGAATGACGGTGGAAGACATCTCGGCATTGTCTGGTGGTACTCGGGTATGGTCCCAGCGATCCGCCAACACTGAATTCGTAATGAGCTTCATCGCCCACAGTTTTTCTGCCTCGTCCGTGACCGGTTTAGCATAGCCGTGAAGGATAGCGGAGCGGTAGTTGTAGCTATGGGAATTGGGTGTAAGAGACAGGATTAGTCCGTCTACCCTACTCGCAGCGATGCAGACAGGCAATCCGTCTCCTTCCGATTTTCTCGCTAGATTCATGATTCGTGAACTGACATATCCATGTAGATAGCAGTCTAGCGGCTCATCAAGTCCAGCCGATGGATAGTCAAATGAACCCATCTGACCGATCATGGGCAATATGGCGGGAAAAGGATCCGGAGGCCCTGGACTGAACGACACATGGAGCACTTGACTTGAATTGATGATAGAATGGATAGCATTGAGATCATACGTTGCTGGTGTATTTCTAAGCTCAGTATACTCATCAAAACGTCATCTCATTCACTCATACCTCGATGTTTGTACCGGTTCACCGTGTTCGCATCTCGCTTCGGGTACGTGAGTGTTCTTCCCATTGTGGATTGTCGAAGCAGGTTCTATGCCAAAGGCAACTCAGAAACGGATGTCCCGTCCAGTATCAGCGCTTGCGGCTTGATTTAAGAGGAGCTGCAAATAGTAGTGTGAGTCATGCGATATGTTGCTCTAAGGCAGACCTTGCTTTTTGTAGTTCGTATCTAAAGATTGGAATAGTTCATCGGAGATTCCGAGGACGATGGTTACCATCATGCGGCGCCCGCACACCAATGGAGCAGTGAGCTACTTGCTGCGCCCGTGAAGGCCATATTAAGATTCCAGGGATCCTTACAAATCGAATCGTGACAATGATGCTGGGAACTTGAACATGGTCATGAACACGAGAAAGGCGCGCCGGGATCGCAAGACATCGCCCGTAAAGGAAAGTCCTTGCGGGACCCTAATAACAAACGTCTGCTCTGCTATTGGTTGCTGTCGCCGATAATATATTAAATCCTCAGGCACTAAGGCATACATCAAGAGCTTCCGATAAACCTTGAGCTTGCTGGCGATAAACCGAAATTAATCCAACAATTTCGCGCCTCACCTACTGAGGGATTTGATAAGCATGTCGACATGCAAAACCCTTGCCCAGAGATGGCCTCGATATCTCCACCGCCAGATCCCATTTGTCGCAGCTAGCACCTCAATCCGGCCAGGGCTTCGAAGCTGTCGCATGAGCAAGCAGCCGTCCCTCCACCGTTCCTACGCTTCCATCTCCGCCGCGGAGCTTAAATTCGGACAACCGCTTCACGAGACGCATCCCCATATATTGAATCCTGGAGAACGTGTGTATATGCTCCTGATTGGAAGGCGATTCGTCACAAACAAAGAATGTGTGGGTTGACTTGAAAATAGTGACCCCCGGTATCACGGCGCTCGAATACGCTCAACGGCGCTCCCGACTTGCGAACAAGCTTCCCAAGAACGCAATCGCAGTGTTAGCTGCCTCGGAAGTTACTTATCGCGCTAATGGCATATTCAACAATTATCGCCAGGATTCCAACTTCTTTTACCTTACCGGTCTGTTTTCATTGCAAACCAAGAATAAAACAAGTAGCTCACTTGATGTCTTTATCAATAGGCTTCAATGAACCCAATGCGCTAGCTATCATCGGTGAGATCAATTTGCCGTTTAAGGGCAACTAAAATAGTGCTTACAATGCTTAGCGAATGATGGATCTGGGGACAATCACATATTCCACCTCTATGTGCGTGAAAAGGATCCGAAGGCTGAGCTCTGGGATGGAGCGCGTTCCGGCACACAGGCGGTGATTGACGTCTTCAACGCGGATGAGGTTGGGAGACTGGCTTGGAGTGTAACGGAACGCTTGGCTAACTATTGGAGCAGACGGGTGATATTGATCGCATTGGGGATATTCTCCCAACGATTCTTTCGGGGGCCACAGAGATCTACACAGATATTCCTGCCTTTAACCCCGGAAGATCCTCCTTGCATCGTTTCTTATACGGCCCCACAAATGCATCCGAGAAGCTGAAGAAGATGGTCGATTATCGCAAAGTCAAGCCCTTGCGTAACATCTTAAACGAGATGCGAGTATTCAAAAGTGAGGATGAGGTCGTCCAATTACGCAGAGTTGGACAGGCGTCGGGACGAGCCTTTACAGAGACCATGAGGCAGACTTTCACAAAAGAGAAGGACCTAAATTCCTTCCTGGAGTACAATTTCAAAGTGAACGGGTGCGATGGCAGTGCTTTTGTCCCCGTGGTTGCAGGCGGCTCCGTGAGTACCTCGTCACCTATTATCTCCCTATTCTGGCTAACAGGTTCAGAACGCTCTGAGTATCCACTATACGAGAAATGACGATGTCTTGAGGTGAACCCCATTTTAACCATGCCTGAGGGCCTGGGCTAATACGAGATAAAGGGATGGTGACATGGTTCTTGTCGACGGGGGCGGGGTCAGTGATTTTTTCTCTATCCTGGAAATTGACTGTGACACTAACAGATTATAGGAATGGGGCACGTACATATCCGATATCACTCGAACTTGGCCGGTTAATGGCAAGTTCTCCGACCCTCAGCGCGACCTATACAATGCAGTGTTGAATGTGCACCGCAGTTGCGTCTCGCTCTGCAGAGAGAGTGCCGGACTTTCACTGGACAAATTGCACAGTATCGCTGAAAATGGTCTAAAGGATCAATTGCAGCAACTGGGATTTGATGTCACAGGCAGCGTAAGTCGATTTGATGTCAAGCATTGCCCACATTCGTCAAGCTGATCCGCGTTTGTCTCGAACAGGCGATGGGCATCCTTTTCCCTCATCATCTGGGGCACTACATTGGGTTAGACGTTCATGATTGTTCCGGATATCCTCGAAGCCAGAATCTCAAAGCAGGCCAGTGCATCACCATCGAACCGTAAGTATTCTTTCAGTCTCAGTTTTGAGATATATCTAATTCACCCTCCCAGTGGAATATACGTTCCGGACAGCGATAGATGGCCACACAAATTTCGAGGCATCGGGATCCGTATCGAAGACAGCGTTTGCGTTGGGGATGATAACCCGATTGTCTTGACCACAGAAGCAGTGAAAGAGGTGAGTCCTAATTCAATTCTCTTCAGGCAAACTGAAAAGACAATTCTTTCAGATTGTACCCTTTCTCCAAGGACGACGACTAATATAGAATCTCGAATAGGTTGATGATATCGAGGCGCTTCGGGATTAGGTGAAATAATCTGCTGTAGTATATAGATACCCTTTCATACGTGATTGTACAATACTAATTTACTCGAGATGCTGCATCCACAAACGAAAGACGTGTTGATGTAAATACTGTAGTAGGGTCAACCGTGAAAACAAACAAACAATGAATCGTCAAGGGCAGTTCTTGATCGGTAAAATTCAATGTACCATTTGGTACGATCGAGTCGACGCGTGGGGTAATTCGGACGGAACRCAACTTCGGAGGAAAAAACCTGGTTAAATAACAAGAAGCGAACTGATTGTGTCAATTCTCGAAGGCGCGGTGGCTGGAACGAAAATCGCTAGAATTTATAATGTAAAGAATGTTCTATGCACATTCGTAGTACGTCCCTTAGGTACTAGTCCTGTAAAGGGTCTGATAGCATCGCGCGACGGTCTTTGGTTGTTTGGCACACATCCCCAGCGGCCAAAACAAACCCGTCTCCACCGGGCTTCCCTCACACGCTTAGTCTACCTTACTCTGCTTCGCTTCTCTTCTCGGTCGACCTATCTACGTACTGCCCTACCTTACCTACTCTGCCTGACCTTACATACTACCTACCTTCACTTCAACTACTGTGCTCCCTGTCATCCGACGTCCAGCCTCCTAAGAAGTCTCCGGACTCGAACATTTTGCCTGTCATCTTACCTCCTGTACAGCCTTGAGGTATTCGCCTCCTATCATTCTCCTACTGCACGTTCCTTGACCGTTGCTCTCTGTCACACGTACAATGGCTTCTCTCTAAGTGAGGATCCTGCCCTTCGAGACGTGTAGCTAGTCGTGTGCTCAGCCTAGAGTGCCCCTCTTGTGCTGGCACCTCGACCTCCCGCGTTCAGCTACAACAAAAAGCGCTCGTGTATTGTTACCATATGGCAACAGTATTCATACCACCTTCGCCTCAGAACTCCTTTAATATGTCAACCCGCCGACCTCTCGCCAACGTGCCGAATGCTACCAATTCCCCTCACAGGGCGGGTCTTGTCCCTGCAAAGCGT